TACTAAAATTTCATTGGGGGAGTCATGACTAGGAAAATATTTGTCTAAAAAGGCTCCTTAGGGGGGCAGTAATGGGCAAAAACGTTGGGGAAGAACTGTCCTTAAAGAAAAAAATAGAATTAGGATAAGTTCAAATTCTGGGACACTGGGACCAGAAGGTTGGGGTGTGAGTTTGCTGGGCCCTGCATCATGTGAGATCAACAGACCAGGAGGGCACGGGAAGGAGAGGGTGGAAAACCACCCCCCCGCCCCCCCCCCAAATGCATGGCAACGCATTGGGCAGTGTGGCCCACAGAGGGCTCCAACGTAGGCACAGTCTCCCCGTGGGGCAAATCCCAAGTCTGCCACATTCAAGTTTAATGACCTGGAGCAAGGTACTCCACCTTCCTGCCCTAACCCCCATCCCACGTCCTGGACAGAACTAGGATGACGATGTAACCGCACAGGTGTCTGGGGAGACTAAATGAGGTTAGCTGTGCTGAATGAGAAAAGAGTGTCCAGCACATAGTTATCTTTCAGTCGTGTTAGCTGGGAGCTTTATTTACCTGGTTGTCCAGGAGGCTTTCACACCTGGATGGGATGGGTCATTGTGCTCTCTCCAGGGTTCAGTGAGCTCAGGTGGAACCCCTGCTGGATGCTTCTAGAAGAGGATGGGGAGGGAGTCTGACTACGCTTGAGGCTCTGTATTAGGGGGTCCTCCTCAGAAGTTCCTGCCCATCTGTCCACAGTTTCATGGACTTTTCTGTTGCTAAAGTGACACCTGTATTTTGAAGAGTGACTCTAACTCCATTCCTTTTTTTTTTTTTTTTTTTTTAAATATATACTTTGGCCATGCCACGAAGCTTGCAGGATCTCAGTTAGTTCCCCGACCAGGGATTGAACCCAGGCCACAGCAGTGATGGCACCGAATCCTAACCATTAGGCCACCAGGGAACTCCCTAACTCCATTCCTAATTAAATTCCTAACTCAGTTCCTAACCTTAATGACCAAATATGACCCTAAATTTGATATAACCCCAAATCTTAACCTTAGGCCTCACCCCAACTCCTAACCCCACCCCATCTTATTCCGGTTCTAACGTGGGCCCTAACCTTAGCTCTAATCCTCACTGTAATGTCCCTGGTAACCCAGTATTTCCCAGAATTAAGTCCCCCACTTCCACAGTCACAAGTTTTGCTATACCTGTGTTCCTTCTGAGCTTGTAGTTATTTCATATTTGTCTTTAAATTATACCTGTAAAGAATCCCATTTTAGCATCATTCTGAGCAACCATGTTCCAGAAATCACGGTGTTCATAGGCTGGCTATATTTTTTCTAATAGATGTTAAAATAAATACAAAGCGGTTAACACGTTAAAAATGTTTCTCCATGCACCATCTACCTAAAGATATCTCCCACACCACCGGAAGTATGCGTGGCACTTTGAAAAAGACTGCTGCTACCCAGAGCCTTTATCTGACACCACACCCCTCGCCATCCGCGGGGAGCAGCAGCCTCGACACCAGGCCCTGTGGGGCTGCAGCGCCCTCTGCTGGTGAGTCTGGGAGCTGCTCTGGCTCAGTTCCCCTTCCATCTGGGCAGGATCCACAAGGTACGACTCTCTCTGACTTGACATTTCGTGTCACTAGCCGTGTAGTTCCCTTAATTGTGAGGACTGAAGAGAGGTGAGAAAGGACCCCTTCCTCTAGGTATAGGGCAGCCGGGGTGTGAGGTGGAGACAAGCCTAAGGTCAGAGGAGGTGGAGGTAGGAGCGGGGTGGGGGTGGGGGTGGGGGTGGGGGGCGGGGCGGGGCCTGCGGGAGGTGCAGGGTGAAGGGTCAACTCTGAATCATGGAGAATTGTCAAGGTTGGGACTAGGGGTCAGAGTGAGTCTAGGGTAGGAATAAGGGTGGAGGTGGGGCCGGCCAGGGCTGGATGAGGGGAGGGTGCAGGGTGAGGGAACAGCAGGGCCAAGCACTGGAGCAGCGGCTGAGTTTTGTGCAGTTAAAAGGAAGAGCACGGTTGAGGTTAGACCACATTTTCAAGCGACCTTCCTGGGGGTGTCACTGAGCTCTTGGGCCTCAAAAAGGGTCCTGAGAGTAGGGGAGGGCTGGGAAGGGCTGAGCTGGGTTGCCACAGGACAGCTGTTGTCTGCTCCAGGTCTGTGTGGCTGAAACCTCCCATCTGGGTATTTTTGGGGACACAAAGCCATCTACTGCTCAACCACTCCAAGGCAGACTCTCCTGCTCTCCTTCCTGGCTCCCTGGGACCCAGGACCCCCCAGCCCCACTAAGTTGTCTGCTCCATGCCAGATCTTGTTCTTTATTCCCCTGAAGACAAGCCGAAGTCCTCTGTTTGCTAAGATCCAATATTTGTTTATTTTTCTATAACTTATAAAGCAATAACACTGTCATCTTTGTTGTCAGTAAAATAAGATCTTACATTTGTGTGGTTCTTCATACATTAAAAGGCTACTTTCAGAAACATTTTCTCATTGGTTCACACAAGATCCTATGAGGTAAAAACAACCCACATTATACCATTTTACAGAGTCAGAGCCTAAGCATCGATGAGTTTGATGCACCAGACTAGAGTCAGAGGCAACTAAGTGAGGATTGAAACTCAGCGTCCTGACTTCTAGCCCAGCAAGCTTGCGGTTAGTTGACATGGATAAACCTGAGATAGAATTCAAAGATGAAGCACAGGAGACATATTTGGATTTGCAATTAGAGACCAAAACTCCAGGACTGGAATTTGGGCACCTGGGACAGGTAGGTGGGGCTAAGTGCAGTGGCACTGCTCAAATCACATTACCTGGCTCGTCACCCAGGCCAGGGGGCTTGCTAATTCCTACACTGCCTGTGCCAGGGGAATCCCTGCAGGCACTAATGAGTACTCCATCTGTGACATCCAGGGTACAGGGTTTTCCAGCAGAGGGCAGAGGTAAAGTTCCTACAGACCCTGGTCTCTGGTCCCTGACTCCCTCTAAGGGGTAATTCTTGAAGGTGGTGCTTTTTTCCCTCCAGGTGGCTCCCCGCTTTGGAGATGATCCCAGACAGGCCCACCCTGGTCTGCCCACTTGGAACGGGGTTTCTTGTCCTTGAGGCCCATACCTGAGCAACAAGGGCCTCTCAGCTCTGCTAAGTCCTGAAAGACACCCCACAAAGAATAGCTATGCCAGCAAGTGCCCCCTTCGCCAGGCAAGAGGCTGCTCAGTGGCTCCTGGGGTGGGCTGAGCAGAGTTTGCGATTGGTGCATCAGGCTTTGACAGTTCACATCTTTATTAGAGGCTGTGACAGTGGAGAGAAGGCAGAACAGCCCTTTGCTGTAAAACCTGTGATCAACCCCATGTGAAGGTAGAAAGCATTGTGAGGCTGGGCTTGGCAGGCTCGGTCCCGAGGTGAGGCTGAGGGGAAGATGCTGTGAGGAGCGGTCCAAGTGCTGCCTTGCTCTTGCCAAGATGGTCATCACAGCCAGACTGGGGCTCCAGCCCCCTCCTCCCCTCGCCCACCAGCCTGTTTTACTGAGCTTCAGAGCCAGCGCCTACTTTAAATCGGAATCTTATTTGAAATGCGTCAGAGTTCACTGTTAGAGCCGCACTCTCAACGTGGCGGCACGTTCCTGTGTGATCCCTCAGTGGATCTTCAGGGCCCCCCCGCTGGATGGGGGCAGGGGTGTGGGTGCAAAGCCTTCACCCACATGGAAGCTGAAGCCATGGAGGCACCCCAGTATCAGGGGGCCAAGGGAGAGGGATGCGAGAGGGGCAGAGGGGAAGCGACAGTGGTTCAGGTCAGACTGGCCTGACCTGCCTGGGTTCCGCTGCTGACCTCTAGTGTGACCACAAGGTCGGGGACCTTAGCTTAGGGCTGGGACCAAGGGTTCAAGAATGAAAACCTCCTTGACCACTGCCTCAGAGGCCTGCTGTCCATTCCTAAAACCCCAGAATGGCAGAGCTGGATGCGAGCTCTAGGACCGTGCTGGCTAACCAGCCCATTTTATAGGTGGGGACGTGGGGGCTCAGGAAGGGGCCCTTCCCTGGGTTCCACTCAATGCACACAGTCAGGGCCAGCCAGGGCCAGGACCTTCTCTGCTGTTCCACACTGCTCCCTGGAGGAGCAGTCTATCAGAGCAATGGTTCTGAAACTTGGCAGGCATCAGAATTGTCTGGAGAATGCACTAAAGCAGCTTGCTGGGAGATTCCAATGCTGCGGGTCCCTGGAGTCCACTGAAAGCGGCGTTGGGTTGGAGGACACACCTCAGGAGGGCTGGGGGCTGGGGACAGTGCAGAGAGTGTGAAGGGCAAAGCCTCAACTAAGGGGAGGCATCTGTGTGGGCAGGAGGAGGGAAGCAGGCTTGGAAGGGTCACAGTCTGGAAGCACGGACAGGCATGGAGCAGCAGCCCCTGTCTCTGCTGAGAGGAGGCCCTTTGTGGGTGAAAATACTCCAGAGGGGAGGTGAACAGAGCTGGCCTCCGGGCCGGCAAAAGCTAGGAGAACCCAAATCCCTAAGGGGTGGTTTGGTTTGAAAGGCACTTAGGTACCCGTGGGACCGCTGGTGTTGCAGGCAGTGTCCGTGGGTGCTGTCAGCAGGTCCCCCCTGGGGCCACGGCCAGGGCTCAGGGAGGAGCGCCAAGGACACCCTTGGGAGTGGGAATCGGGTGGCTGGGGCAATACGGGGGCCACTTCGAGAGCCCAGCGGCCAGGCCTTCACCAGGGACCTCCTGGTTCTGGCACCTGGAGGAGACGGGCCAGGGGTCTGGTGAGCTAACTTTCCCGTGCTCCCAGGGCCGCACAGGGATCTGTGCGGTGGCTGCTTGGCAGGTGGCTGCTTGGCCTTGGAACCTTCTCTGTGGGATTTTTAGAGAAGAGGAATTTGGTCGCAGAGAAGGAAACTGATTCTGGACCAAATGACAAAGGAGAACTGGGGACCAGGACCTGGGAATACTGTGATGGGCAGGGCCTGGCTCAGGGACCCCATCCCTCTCTGTCCCCAGAAGGGTCTGAGCCAGTCATCCCTTCCTCTCAGCTCTGCTGGGAAGCCCTTTCTGCCAAGCTATGGCCAGCCAGAGGGGTAGCGATGCCTTCTGCCCCTGCTGAGGCCGGCCCTTCCAGCAGGCCTTCGAAGTAGGCGCCCAAAGCCTGCAGGTTGAATGCAGGCTGGCTTGCGGGCAACGAGGGTGTCTGTGGGCTCAGGAAGCAGCTGTACTCCTCCAGGCCCCTCTGCGGGTCATGGCGGTGTGCGCTCAGCAGCTCCTTGAAGCTGACCAGGTGGAGGGCCAGCAGGCGGGCCTCAGCCCGGGGCAGGACATTCGCCCGCACCAGGGGCTGCAGGGACGCAAAGCACCGCAGGCTGCTGAAGGAGTGGACGTGCGGGGCCAGCTGGGGGCCCGGGGACACCTCGAGGAGGCGGCACAGGTCGCGCATGGTCAGCACGGCTGCCAGGGCGCTGCGTTCACTCATGTTTCTCGCCAGGTAGGTCTTGGCCAGACTCTTGAGTTTGAAGCTGCTGGCCCCGGGCACGCACTCCCGGATGAGGGGCAGGGCGGCCAGGAAGCCTGAGACGGCGTTCTGGAACTCCCCCAGCTTGTTCATGTTCTCCAGAGCCTGGAAGAAGTTGGGGAGGCCGGGCCCCCACAGCTTATAGCAGGCCAGGATGGGCCGGCGCATGCTGCTCAGGAAGCACAGGAAGTGCTGCAGCCCCACCTCCAGGGAGACGGCCTTGGAGATGTTGAAGGCCTTGGGCTGGATGATCACGCGGAATTGGCTTTCCTGGTTCACGGCTGCCAGCTGGCTAATCTTCTGGGCTGGGCAGGAGAGAAGGGCAGCGTGAGGCCCCAAGGGCACCACGAGGTACCACAGGGAGCAGGGGGTCCTCTAGGGCTGCCGATCCCCCCATCCAGAGACCCCACCTTGGGGCCCGCTGGCAGGAAACAAACATCAGCCTCAAATGCAGCTCTGACCCTGGCTCTGAAAGGGAGGCGGGGCTGCCCTCCACGCCCCCTTGCTCCCCTGCTGGGAGTCCAGCTCCCTCCTGCCCTGCCACCTTCCCGAGTTCCCCAAACGCTTTCACTCCAGGCCCCTCCTGTCTGTCTTCTGCCAGCCTCCACCCACCTGCACTCGAGACCCCTCGCTGCCTCTGCCTAGCCCTCCACTCCCTTTCCCCTGGCCTCCGATCCCATCAGTCACATAGCTAAGGCCCTCAGCTGTCAGAGCACTGGGTCAGACAGCACACCTGCCCAGTCCACTCCATGCAAAGCATGGCCCAGAATCTTCCAGTGAGGTCTGCAAACTGCCTCTCTGTCCTATGGAAACACCTGCTGCTTCCGTCTGCCTGGGCTGGCACCACATTGAGTCCAGGCCGCAGGATAGGGCCTGGCCTTCTGCAGGGCCAGGGCAAGCACTGTGGAGTTGAGGGAGAAGGGGTCATACTTCTCTGGGACCTTGGCTCTGCTGGCTTCCCCGTGCAGCTACCGTGGAACGAATGGGCCCTGTATTCAGAAATGTGCAGTCATGGCCTAAGGCTGTGCTTGGACTGCTGGTCTCACAGCAGCGACTTTCACATCGTGCTTCTGTTTAGAAGCGTGTTCCCAAGGCTCCCTAAGATGGGGGTGGGGTGGGCGGGAACCCCTGGAAGGCCTTAAGCCTTTAGGCACTGGTCAAAGCAGATGTCCTCATTCAAAGAACCAAGTTCAGATACCTGGGAGGCCCAGTGCTCTGCCCACTCTCTGGCTGCAGCCATCGGCCAGAGCTCAGGGCTCTCCCAGACTCGCAGATGGCTATGTCTGCACTTATCCTGGGGACTCAGGGACTAAGCTAGAAAGGGGTGGGGGGTGGCCATAGGAGAACCCACTTTCATTGTCAATCTTGAGGTCAAAGAAAACCAGGGGCCTGTCTTCTGCTTGGGAGTCCTCAAGGCTCTTGTCCAGGACCCCGAGGGATAAGGGGCCCTCCAGCTGGAGGTCACTGGACTCGCTGCTGCTGTCGGCCAGCTCTCGGGAGGACTGCAACACAGAAAAACCAACAGGTCAGGGGTCTGCGGGGGGCGAGAGGGAGCACAGTGGCGATGTGAGCCTGCGCCCGTGAGCAGGCGTGCATGCTTGTGCGTGCATGAGTGTGGCAGGGGGGACTCAAGCACATGGGTATGGTGGGGGCATCTGTGTGCACCTGAGGGAGGGCATGTTACTGGGAAAGGGAAGATGGGTCTCCAAGTGAGTGCATGAATGGATGTGAATGTGCACGTGTGAGGGTTGTGCGTGTGAACCAGGGCATGTGCGTTAGTGCGTGAGTAGGATGAGATCACGTGGGCAAGTGTGAGTGTGCGTGAAAAATGTGTGGGAATGAATGCAAATATCGTGTGTGTGTGCATCTGGGTGTGCACGCGGGGTGTGGGATTGTGGACCTGTGTTGACACAAGTGTGTGTGAAAGGGGTATGCACGAGGGGTGTGGGATTGTGGACCTGTGTTGACACAAGTGTGTGTGAAAGTGTGATACTCTGTGGGTGAGTGTGCGCATGAGCAAGCAGGGCTGGGTGTGGAGGATCAGGGAGGGTGCCAGGGCCGAGGCTGGCAGGGCCCGACGTATCTGCTCCTGACTTCGTCTCTCTGAGCAGACTCAGAACAAACATCATAAACCTGGGACAGGGGGAAGGAGGCTCATCTTGAGCCTCAGGTGTTTCTCTGGAAGGGGCAAGGTGCCTGGCTTTTCCTGTCCTCCAAGCGAGCTGAGGTCCCAGTGTCCTGCACAAAGGAGAGGGGAGGGCTGCTGGGCCTCTGGGACGCCAGCCACATCTAGGGGGACACACAGAGCCTGGCTGTGAGAACAGTAGAGAGAAGACTCCCCAGGTTTGGTGTCCAGGAGATGGTGCTTAGGGAAGCCGGAGACCAGGCCTCCATCAGGCTGGCACCTGAGGGTCTGTTCTCTCCCACACCAAGGCAAGAACACTGTTGAAAGGCCTTGGGGCTGGGGAAGAGCTCTGGCTATACGAGTTTAAACCCCAGGGCTGGGGCTAAAGAGAGAGGTGGAGTCTTTCATAACGTAGAGTTAATTGCTTATCATTTGCACACCTGCCAAAGCCAGACGTTCAGTCTTTGGTGGCCTGCTCAGAACGTCCTGTGAATGCCACCTGTGGACACTAACCAGACACTGGGAGGGACATGGCCAATGTCACAGGGCCAGCTGGGGGCACTGCTGGGACAGAGTCCAGAGAAGGCCTTGATCGTTCCCCCTTATGGACTGTCCCTGGTGGCTGATGGAGTCAGCCTCACCTGGGGCCATCTGAGGCCTCCCTGAACTCTGGCCTCTGGCTAACGTCCCTGGTCTGGGGCAAAATTAGCATACTTTCTTAGGCCCTCCCGCCCTCCAGGTGAAACATTTGTTTTACCAAAACTTCAGCCAAGAGCAAAGTCTTTACTAATCACAATTAAAATGTGCTTCCTGAGAGGGGCTGATCTGTATTTGCCTCTCATAGCCCTACCCCAGGCTCACCAACTTCCTCCTAGTCACTGATAGAAACAGACATTCACTATGAGTCCATCTAGAGCTGGTGTTGCTTACAGCAGCCTGTGAGTTCTGGGACTTTATACCTGAGGCCCTAATTTGACAAAAGATATGCCTTGCATATCTGTATTCTCGATTTGGCCGTACATCCATTTGGCCTGTCTTGCTCCGAGTCTCTGTCTCACTGTCACGGCTCCCTTGCCTCCCTATGAGGAGCCTTCTCCAGGAGTCTTCCGTAAAGTTGCCTGTAGACAGGAGACGCCGTCTTCTTCCCCCATGGGAGAATCAAGCTGTTTTCTACCTCTAATCTTCCAGTGCCTGTTCTGATCACAAGGCAGGGGTGCTCTCACACTTGGGCTGGTGGAAAGAGCTGGACTCCCCTTGCTATGGCCTCCCCTGGGCTTCGGCTGAAGAGCTGTCCCCTCGGCCAAGTCCTCTCTGCCACCCACCGACACAGTATGCTGGGCTTTCCCTTCTTCCTTCTCTTTGCTCTAAACTGCAGAAGCCCTTGCAGTGGCCCAGGGTGCTTCCATCTGTCTTCTGGTACTGCCTCTTCAGGCTGTAGGGCCAGAGTCGTCTCTTCAGATATCCTCCTCCAAGGGTTGAGCTCCCTGGCAAGCAGCACAGCTGCATCCTTGAGCTAACGCCCCCATCTTTATACCAGGGTCATTTATGATAGCCATGAGAACCTCATTTTTTAAGAGCCTCCCATGGTCCTGGGGTCATTTTCTCTTTTACAGTCATGGAAATATCCTTCGTCCTGAACTTACTGAAGTCCTGCTGGCTCTCTTCATAAAAGGACACTCCTTTCCACTGAGTTGTCGAGGGAGGGAGGGCTGAATCTTCCAGCCGTGACTCCTTTTCCTCCCAGATTCCTCTTGTCCTTGGGAACTTCCATAAAGTATGGCTACCCCATGGGACTGGTCTCACTGGAACGCCTCCCACTGAACTCCAGCCAGCTGTAAACGCAATTCCCCCTCCCTGCCTTAAATCCCAGCAGCACAGCTGGGAAGCACTGACACAATTAAAAAAGACTTTTTTAAAGACCCAGACTTAACAGAATCAGCACATAGAGGCTCCAGTGCAGGATGTCTTTCTGGCCCTGCTCATTTTCTGCCCCTGTTCCACACCCCGACACTGCCACTTCCCGACCTTATTCCACAATCAGGATAATGGGGAGGCAGGGATAGAGAGGGAGAGTGGCAGACACCAGAACCCAAGAATCTAGGAGAGGGCCTTTCACTGGAAAAAGCTGAGATTTGCTTGGAAGGGAAAGGAATGGCAGCAAAAGGAACTGGAGTGGGGAAGAGACCAGAGCCCATGTGTGAGGACTCTAAGCGAAAAGTGGGATAAGGCTTTGAGGGACCAGGGAGTGGCAGATGATGAGGGCTAGAGTGAGGTGGTGGAGGATTTAAGGAGTGCTGCTGTGAGTTATGAGTTGGATCCCCTGTAATAGTCTTTGAAAGATGTGAGTAAATACTGGACACTTGGTTAATGAACTGTGTTTCTTTGACTGCAAAACTGTTCAGACTGAGCCACGTGGGATCTGGGATTTTTTCGGGATACACAGGCAACTAGGACACACAGGCAATCAGGTTCATGAGCTCTATTTCACTTATCTTCATCACAGTCAACTTAGCAGATCAATCACATCCCAACTCAACACAGCAGGTGTAATGGCCATTCCAAGGTGCTCATAGGAAGCAGCTGGGTTGACGTCACCTTCCAGAAGTTTAGGAGGTTTATCTGGGAAGAGCAGGTATTTCCCCTCCACACCTGGATCATATCCCAGCAACGTACACCTCACCTCTGCTCAAGGCTGATACGTATACAAATGGGCAGCATTTCTCTGACACAGATGTGCAATTGACTCCCCCCAATTTAGTGAGTCTCTACCTTGGTTGTGCCTAAGCAGCTTAAAAAAATCTTGACGTCCAGGCTGCACCCCAGACCAAGTCAGTTAGAATCTCTGGGGGTGGGACCCAGGAATCTGTCCTTGGTAAAACCCCCCAAGTGACACCAGTGTGCAGCCAGGATTGGCAACCACTGTCCTAATTACTGATTTATTCCACGTTCGGGCATCAGCAAATCAGACAGGAGCCAAACTCTTTGATATTTAACATCCTCACCTGAAGATACCTATCTGGTATCTGACATTAATACTAATCAAGAGTCCCCAGCTCCTGAGGAACTTTCTTAGCACCTGAGCTTAAGCAACAGCTGGGATCAGTGTGGCAAGACACACACTGCTGTACTTTGCAGACACAAAACCACAGCTCTTGCAAAGCCTGAAGGCCCCAGAGATACGTCACATGTTATCTGTTAACCTAAACGATCCCATTAGCCAACCTGTGGCCCCTACTGCCCTCTGCCCACTGCTCTGCAGGCTGCTGCTGCCCATCGGAGGACACGGCTCCCACCTTCTCAGCTGAGCACCTGTTTCCTTTTCTGATACACTCATTCACCAGCATCACGGTCCCTCCCCTGATCAGCTGCTCCCCACAGGCCTCCCTTCCACTGCCGGGCACCACTGCCACTTCTGCCAGGGGCTGCCCCCTCGGCTAGGCCTCCTGCTGATTCCACTTGGTCCTGCTGCTATCGGGCACTGGGGTGAGTCTTCTGTCCGAAGAGTGGATGAGAGCATCTATCTTTTTCTGCTTCGGATCCGTTAACACGGGGCCCGCAGCAGACATGTGTCTGACCCACCTCATTTTTAAGCACAGTCCTCACTCCAGGTCTCCAGCATCAGACCTGTGTCTCGCCCCTCCACCCCAAGACTACAGCCCCACTGCCTCTCCCAGCAAGGGCGAGGTCTCCTACAGAGCACCCCTGCTGCCCAGGCAGCCTCTCCCCAGCCCTGCCCACTACGCCAGGTCTGTGCCAGAACCGACCTGCCCCCCACGTCTCGATGCCAGCCACTGACACAGCTGCAGCCCGAGCAGGGGCCTACACACCCTGGTACACGTGGAAACGCAGTATCTTAGCAGACCAGTATTCTACAGCTCTCACACACTGGCAGGTTAGATAAAGGCTGCAGGGAGCGGAGGACAGGGGAGTCTGGAGCACCCTGCAAGTGTTGACCTGCTCCCTTCCTCCAAAGAACTCTGGGAGCACCAGGGATCTGGAAGGGGGTATGGAAGGTGGGTGAAGAGATGCACCTACTTAGGGGGATCTAATTTGTGTTCTTTTTAAATTTTTTCCCCCCCAACAAGTTTTGGACTTGTGTAATGGTTGATTTGAAAAACTTGTCTGAAGAACCCCTACACAAAGGCAGTGATCCTCTGGCTCTCTTGCCTCCAGACTGGCTCTCCAAAGGTGAGCAGCTGCTTCTAATCATCTAATTTTTCCTAACCTGAAATGTGCTTCTCCTTCCTGAGTTGATCAACCTCAGATATCATCCAGTGGCTCCTTGTTGACAGCTGAGCACTAGACTAACCACCCCTGTCCCACCCCACCCCCAAAATATTGCTGGTTTCAGTGCCTCCACCTGGCACTCATGAAGTCTGGCAGGACTAAGGGTGTTCCAATCCTTTTCTCGCTCTTTCCTTCCCAGGCTTCTGTCTCTACCCAAGGTCAGTCTTGTTTTAATTTTATCAAGATTATGGAATAGAAAGAAGTGTCCAGATTTCAGAGGAATTTAGAACATGGAAAGACTCAAAAAGTGATTGGCTGTGAGGAATAATAAAAAGCATAGGGGGAGTCCTGGGCAGCTCTGGGGTCTTGGCTTCTGTAACTAGGCAGATGGTGCAATTTACTGAGAGGAGAGGAGGAGAGGCGAGTTCGAGGCTTCTATGGGGCATCTGAGTGGAGCCGTCAGGACGCCATTGGCTCTATTGGTCCTGCGGGCATGAGCCCATAGTGAAGCCGTGGGTGTGGCTGAGATCACGGGGTGGGGTGGGGGGAATACACAGACTAGAAAGAGAAGGCGGCCCAGACCTAAGCCGGAGAACAACAGTTAAAAGAACACAGAGACCTGAAGGGGGAGTAGGGAGGAGCAGCCAGAGCTGCAGGAGGAAGTGTCCTGAACCCAAGGGAAGCAGAGTCTTTCGGGGGCAGTTAGGACTGAAGGCGACCACTGGACTCAGAGGCGCGGAGGTTACCTTGGGCGCTGGTGGCAGGGCTCACTGGCATGGTGGGGAAGGGCAGGGGAGTGGGGTGAGGAAGGAGCACCAAGGGGGTGAAGGTCCGGGGTGGGGGTTGCCGAGATAGGGAAGACTTTCTTCAGGGTGCCTAGCTGTAGCCCATAGGAAGTGTTTGAAGACACAAATGAGCATGGGGAGATGCAGAAGGAGACAGGAGGGCGGGGCCAGGAAGAGGGGGAGTGGGTCCTACAGGGAGGTGGCCATCCCCACCACCCTAACAGAAGGAACGGGGGGAAGGATGTAACCAGGTCGGGTCAATCCGTCATCAGAGAGCGAGACGGGGGCTGCTCCCATGCCACCTGTCAACCTGAGGGCAGAAGGTGCAGCCACCTGGCAAGAGCGAGCGGGGCGGGGATGAGGGACCAGAGCTAGGGAAGTGGAGGTGCAGCGAGGGGCCGTGGAGAGCAGAGGGGCATGCTGAGGCAGGAAGCCAGGGAGCCCAGGAGACAATCATTTGTAGCTTTCCTCGCCTTGACTTTTCTCCAACACAAGTCGGCCTCCTGGTGGCGGCATGGAGCGGGGGAACGCTGCCGAATCCTTCCAGGGCTGTCTCTGGAGGGCAGGCTACCAGGAGGCCGGTGGGTGGGGGAGGCAGGGCACCGAGATCCTGGTGAAAGGCTGGCTGAAATGGGGGACCTTGCTGGCTGGTGGACAGGAGGCAGAGGCAGAAGGAGCTGGGAGGGAGAGGGCAGAGGTCCTGGAAGGAACGGGTTGAGAGCTCAAGCAGGAGGCTGTGGTCAGAGTCTGCGTGGGACAGTTTAGAGATGGAAAGTTCTCAGTGATGGCGAGGTCTGGGGGGTGGGGGCATGGGGGATGGGATTGGCAGGTGCAGGGGAATGGGGCAAAGATCCCTGAAAGCTCAAGGCGAGGAGAGACGAGGGTGGTGGGTGCTGAAGTCACCCAGGAAGGCTGGACCTGCGTGGGGAGAGGAAACCTAGGAGGCAGTCTTCCTACGTGGGGGAAGGCAGGAGGATGTCTGAGATGAGCTGGGGCAAGTGGGGTTCATCTGGAGAGCCCGAACCTCAAAGGCACAGGGGATCTTGCCAGACGGTGGGACCCAAACAGGAGGCACAGAGGGCCTGGACCCTACCTCCCACCTCTGATGCTCCCAGGGTGTGGGGGAAAGAGGGACATAGCAGCCCCACAGGTGAACCAAGCATCAGTGCAGGGAGGAGACAGAAAACACCTGCAGGGAAGGGCTAAGCCCAGCAGGGAATCTGATGGTCATGGAAGAAGGGTTTGCAAGGGTGATCGTTCAACAAGTATTTATTGAGCAGCCGCACCTGCCAGGGCCTGGGAGCGACACAGTCCCTGCCCTCGTGGGCTTACATCCTGGCAGAGGCCCAGTGGGAAGGCTTGGGGTGGGGGGATGGGGCAGTGGGAGGTGCAAAGGGTGAGAGAAGCTTCCTTGTCTTGGGCAAAGAGGCCCGAGGATGTGACGAACAAGGGCCTGAATCTCAGTCACACCCCCCTGGCTGGGGAGGACTTGTCTCTACCCAGAGGTCCATGGAGCCATTCATTCCCTTGTTCACTCTCTGATGATGTACTGGATGCCTACTGCGTGTAGGGCCTTTAGGTGCGTGGGCTGGGCTGGGTAGCAGGGTGGAGGGGGCTTGGGGAGCAGAGGGGGTGCGTTGGCCACAAGGTTACAAGAGGAAGGTGACCAGGGTCAGGGCTGCAGAGGAGGGAGGCACTTGGGCTCTCAGAGGCTTGTCTGCGGGGGGCCTGTGCTTGTGGGAGGCCTATTTGGAGGGTGGGGTGGTGGGAATGCATTTGGAGGGACTTCCAGTGGGAACTGGACTTGGGGATTCTCCATGGGGGCTCTGCCAGAGTCCCCAGGAGAGACTCCTGCTCCAAGAGTCTGGGGTGCTCTGCCTCCCCCGAGCCCCGCCCCGGGAGAGGCATCAAGTTGGGGAGCCACAGAGGAGAGCGGAAGGGCAAAGAAGTTGTTGAGCCACTGGGCCACACGCGCGGAGCCCCGGAGGGAGCGGCCGCGGGATCGTGCTGCCTGTCGCGCCCCGCGAGGTTGGCTGTTGGCCGTTGTGAGGTGGGCGGGACACTCCTGGGGGCTGGCAGGTTGGCTGGGAGTCCCGGTGGTGGCCTGGACTGGCCCTTGGGAGGGAGAACAAGTCCACAAGGGGGCGCAATACACTCTGAGGGGCAGGCGTAAGATGTGGCGGAGGCGCGGGTTTCTTGGGGCTCTGCGTGATAGCAAGTTGATCCCACGGTGGACGGCAGCTTGCTCCTGGTGAGCGGCTGGCTGTCTGGGACACTCAGCATCAGGGACGGCAGCTCGCTCTGCAGGATCGTGGGGAGGCCAAGCGGGGGGTCGGCATGTGCCACGGGGCAGACGAGAGGCCCAGCAGGGATGGGACGCTCGGCGAGCTCTCGGCGGGGGCTGGGCTGGCGAGGAGGGAGGTGCGACGGTCTCCGTGGGCTCCACACGCTTTCCAACACAGAACCTCAGACTGAGGGCTGGGAGGGACCTCAGGGGCCACCCAGTCCAACCTTCCACTCTATTCCGATCCCTTTTGCCCCTGGACAGGTGACAGCCCAGCCTCCATTAACAAACCTCCAGGGACAGAAGGGTCACAACCCGTAAGGTCACTTGTTCCATTGTGGGATGGCTTTAAAGAAGTTCTTCTTACATGGAGTCACCACGTGCTTGTTTGGGCCCTGCATGGGGCTGCCCTGCGCCCTCACACCCCCAGAGAGCCCTCAACAGCTGCCATTAACCAGGGAATGAACGCTTGTCCGCCCTCCTCATCGAGGACGTAAGAGGGCAGAAAATGCATAAGGAAGCTCCAGACACAGGCATTGGCTAGTCCAGAAATGAGACAGAGGCCTGGAAGGAAGCCCTCTCCCAGCTTTTCAGAAGAGTACATGTGATTACTAAAGGCTCCTGCCCTGGTATGGAGGGAGGGTCGGAGTGATCCAGACCACAGCTGGCATTTGGAGACTATCCTCTGGACAGCTCAGGACTCACTGCCTTGCTGGTAAATTCCCCAGGCGCAACGCGAGTCTGAGAGTCACCTGCTGTGGCTGCGCCCCCTGGGACCTGGAATGGGGGGAGGCAGGAGTCCTAGGCCGAACTTCTGAGCCACTCACCGAGTTTTCGGCATCTGAGTCTTCCGAGCTGCTGATCACCACGACACGCTCCTCTGAAACGGGGTAGGGGAGACAATGTTAGGGCCTGCCAGGGAGGCCCATGGATGGGGCCCAGGGTGTTCTCCCGTGGGAATCCTTGCAGGCCAGTGAACTGGGTGGGTGACGTGTGCCCTGCAAGGGGGGATGTGAACGTTCAGCGTGTGTGCCAGTGTGGATCTGCTTGTGCAGAGGGGTTATTCAAGGTGGCTTCCCATCACGGCGTACTGTGCCTTGCCTGTGAACACTTAATTCAGCTGTTGGCCCTGGAGTGATTCAGAATTTACTACCTGTGGAGGGGCGTGACAAGCACCACCTGGTTTGGAACCTTTTGCCGTCCTAAAGCAGCACACTGGTTTGTTCCACTTCTCAGCTCCGTGAGCCACAAGATGTTTGAGTTAAAAGATACTTTATCGGGCTTCCCTGGTGGCGCAGTGGTTAAGAATCCGCCTGCCAATGCAGGGGACACGGTCCGGGAAGATCCCACATGCCCTGGAGCAACTAAGCCCGTGCACCACAACTACTGAGCCTGCGCTCTAGAGCCCACGAGTCACAGCTACTGAGCCCGCGTGCCACAACTACTGAAGCCTGCGCACCTAGAGCCCGTGCTCCGCAATAAGAGAAGCCACCACAATGAGAAGCCCGCGCACCAGAACGAAGAGTAGCCCCGGCTCGCCGCAACTAGAGAAAGCCTGTGCGCAGCAACAAAGACCCAACGCAGCCAATAAATAAAGAAACAACTTAATTAATTTTAAAAAAACATACTTTATCTAGGTTAATCAAAACCTTCTGATTACCAACAGTATTTGTGAGCAAGGATTATCAGTCAGGGCTGAGTGTGTGACCAGGGTCGGGGTTCAGTGTGACCAGGAACAGGGGTCAGTGTGGGACCTAGAATGAAAATAAAGCTGGACTCTGGGTAAAACAGATCCAGGAAGAACTGTCTTGAACATTCCAGAATTCTATGGGTTGACCTCAACTCACATGAAAGGACTCCCTCTCTGGCAGGGGCCGTAAAAGGTATCCAGGACAAACGAGGTACCTTAGGCAGGTGGCAGAAAAATTTGGGAACCGATGGGTGTGGACTTTACCCAAGTCCTCTCTGGGCACATACCAGGCACCCCCCCAACAAACATTTCTTGGGGAGACAGACCCACCCCATGCAGAGGCACAGTGCTGGGTTCTGTTAAGAGTGTGAAGAGTGTGTTAGGGGAAGGAACTACGGAGATGTGGTCTTTGGCCCGTCATGCTCGTCTCACTGGCATCCCAGCAAAGCACAGGCTAAACTATCCACTCTCATCCCCCAGACAAACCCTGGGCTTTCCCTTCCCCGTTTGGTGGCAGCTGAGGGCAGGACACACAGGGAATGCTGTTGGCTTTGGGCTCCGTGGGTAGGGTCAGGATGCAGAAGAGGGGTCCCACCCAGCCCCCGGAGGACAGCATGCAGGCCTCAGCCTCTGCTGCCCACCCACCTCCCTACCTGCCTCCCCAGGGTCGCTGGTCGCATGGTTGCTGTCGGGCAAGAAGGTCTCATTTCCTATGATGGGACTCTTGGGGCTGGGGGACCTGTCCAGGTGGGGTGGTGAGACTGCCTTGGAGGTGCTGGGCCTGGGCTGCTCAGGGGAGCTCCGAGCCAACCTTGACTCTTTCTCCTCCTCAGACTCCATCTTGATGACCTTCCTGGGGCACTCGGTCTGGCAGGACTTCCTCTTCTGTGGTGTGGCTGTGTTGGAGACCTCCTGTGCAGCAAGGAGTCACAGGGTAGGGTCAGGAGCCTCCCACTGGGGCAGTGGGCAGAGACCAGACCTGGGTGGCAGGAACATGTGCCCCCCGTGCCCTTTGTTCCTGCTGTTCTCTCTGCTATCTGCCACTCAGATCACGCCTCTCTATAAAGGATGCCCTCCCAGGTCAGCATGCACACTGGCCCTGCTGGTGACCACTGACCACCCACCTCTGCTGGCCTCTGACTGCCCTGGGAGGGGCTCATGTTTGGAGAGGAGCTTCCTGACAGGGCAACCAAGAGCAGGGAGAGCGTAGAGTAGGTACCTATTGAGGTCTGGATTCTCACTTCAGCTCCACCTCTTACTGCCTAGGAGGATCTGGGCCCTCGGGAGGGGAGGGAAGGGCGGGGGAGAGCCTTACCTCTCTGCAGGAGGGGTCTTTGATGGAGTAGGCGTACACTGGCACAGGGTGTGCCCCCGGCACCGGCTGTACCACAGTCAATCCTGGGGCCTGCACCTGGGCCCTCTGCGCCTCCTCTGGCTGCAAAGTCAGGAAATGAGGGTAGTCAGAAATGACCAGGCAGCAGGACCAGGGCCAGGTCCCCAGGCCTGGGGTCAGCCCAGTCCCCAAGGCCTCACCCAGAAACAGGTGCAGGCTGCCCAGTCCAAAGCCCAGAGCCTATTGGGGACCAGAAATCCTCCCCACAGCCTCCATGACGTCACTCCCTTGTGACCCTGAGGTGCTGGCATCCAGGGACCACTTCAATGCCTGTGCATGCTAACGGGGCTGAAAGATGACCTCAGGGATCACACTGCCCAACAACTCAAGGCTCGCTTGACAACAGGCCCAGCCTAGACAACTCCAGGGACAAAGTGCTCACTACTAATGGAAGCAGTTCGTCTCCAGCTGCAAAGTCATAACAGGGAGGAAATCCTTCCACTGAGCTGACACTGGCCTCCATGTCACCTGTTCACAATAGCCAAAAGGTGGAAACAACCCCAATGTCCATCAGCTGATGAATGGAAAAACAAAATGTGGGATAGCCATTCAGGGGAATATTATCCAGCCATAAAAAGGAATAAAGTTCTGACACACACAATGTGGATGAAGCTTGAACACATCAGGCTAAGTGAAAAGCCAGCCACAGAAGAATACATACTGTATGATTCCATTTATATGAAATATTCAGAAGTGCCAATGCACGGAGACAGCAGACTGGTGGTTGCCAGGGGCTGGGGGAGGGGAAGTGAGGAGTGACTGCTTCATGGGTACCGGGTTTCCTTTTGTGGTAATGAAAGTACTCTGGAACTAGAGGTGGGATGGTTGTACCAGACTGTGAGTGTACTAAATGTCACTGGATTGTACACTTTAAAATAGTTAAAATGGTGAAGTTTCGTATGTGAATTTTACAATAAAATTATAGTTTAAAAAGAGGATGGTACTATATTGCGATTATTGCCTATCTACAGAGAAGGAAACTGAGGCACAAAGAGGTGAAATGATTTCCTAAGGTCACATACCTAATAAGGGCCTGGACCAGGGCTTGAATCGTGTTTTTGAAATCCAAGTTCCCTTCCTGAGCCCACTGTATCCTTTAACATCCCTCTGCACCATCTTTCTCTACCGTGTGACACTGAAGAATAAGCTGGACCTTTTGCTGAAACCAAGTGGGTGATGTGGGAAGTGTCCCTCCCAAAGGGGAGGCTCAATCCAGGGGCCCTGCCACTCCTGCCCGCAATCCTGACCCCTTGGCACCTCACAGCCCCTGTGCGCTCAGTGGATGACCATCCATCAGGAGCCTGTGGTCGGTCCACCCAGCGAAGGAAGGGGATTCCCACACAGCTGGAGGGGGCTCTGGGTTGAGCAGAGAAAAGCCAGGCACTGGGCTGTAAGAGGATAAGGCCAGGGATGTGCTTTCCTCAGGACAAGCTCTGTCCCTCCCATGTGGCTGGCGACATGGTCAGGCCCACCCTCACGGGGTGAACAGCAGGGATTACCTGGCCGAGCCCAGGCTGGGGAAGGCAGGGAAAGCCCCGCACGACAGGCCATGTGCTGGGGACCGGGACCCTGAGGTGGGGCTCTTCTTGGTATCGAGTGCTTTCATGTGAAATGTAGGCTCCCAAATCATTGGCTATAATGTACTGATTTCCTTCCCTCCTCCTTGTTTCCCGGGTTTCTTTTTCTCAACATCTTCACAGAAGGGAAGGAGAGCCGGAGCAGAGAGTGCACCTGTGTGCGGGAAGGGGCGAGGGGATGATCTCCCAGGTCATATTCTCCCAGGCCTCCAGGGAAAGTACACAATCTCCACAGCACTCTCTGTGCCAACTACAGTTGTGACCCACGAGTGGATCACGAAAGCAATGTCATGACTAGCATTTTTTTGTATTACATAGAATAGTACAGAACAGAAAATTAGAGGACCTCCCATGTTTATAAGCATAATTTGTTTTGCAAAACTTCTGTTTTAGCTACAGGTATGTGCATGTGTATACCCTGTAGGTTAGATGTAAAATATATTTTTTACAGTGGGTGGTGGTCAAAAAAGTTCAAATCACTTCACATTCATTAAGATGGCCACTATTAAAAAAAAAAGTGTGAATGAGAAATGTAGAGAAGTTGGAACCGCTGTGCACTGTCGATGGTAACGCAGAATACGATGCAGCCACTACGGAAAACCGTATGGTGGTTCCTCAAAAATTAAAAACAGAATTAGTATATGATCCAGCAATTCCACTTCTAGGCAAATTTTATGTTGTTATGTATTTGATCACCATTAAAAATGAAAGAGTTGAAAAGGTCCTGGTCTGTCCTTCATGTGTGTCTCTGCAAACTGCTGGCATGTAAGAGAACCTCTTTCCACCTGGGCTGTGAACTCCCCCAAGACAGGGCTGGGCTCCTCTCCACCTCTGTCCCATCCTCCCTGACACCCCCTGCAATGTTAATGAAGCAGGGGACACACATGAGGGCTCAGTAAAGAAAAAAAATCATGATGACTGATTTATAGTTGTTTTACAGTTTTAAAACAATTTATTTTTTTTCCCATTGTATTGTGACGTCATTGCAAAAAGAGCCTGTGAGAAACAGAGGAGGGAAAATGTCCGAGCCACTGTCCCACCCATGTGCTCCTAGTTAAGCCTGTTGGTGTTTTTCATCCTCTCCGCCTACAGGCACAGGGTGGCGATGAAAGTACACCAGCAGTTTCAAGAGGAATGAGTGTTGGCCCTAGGAGCCCAGTTCCTGCCTCCTAAGGCAGGAATGTGGGTCCAAGAGTTGCCTTTCTTCTGGCACAACCAGACCATGCCTGCCACCCTCAAGCGGCCACACCTGTCCTTTGCACGCGTGGTGTGTGACCCACTTCCATTCCCCAGCTCTATCCACCCTCACCCCCTAGCCTATTACCAAAGTGAAAGCAAGAGACTTTTCAGGAAGAGGATTCTTCTGAGGCTCCAAGTTCAAACTGCTTAGTAGCTGGTAGTGAGAGGTCACAAGACAAGACCTGGCAAAATGCCTAGACCTTATTCACACAAGAGTACGGGCTCTCTTGCTGTTCATTAACCAGCAACTGGCACCTGGAAGACAGTGCAATCTGTGGACCCAGGGCACTTTCAACTATCATTCATATGATTTCTTTGGGGACATTTTTCACTCTAGCACTGTTTGTAATGCCAAAACAACCTAAATAGCCAAGGAGTCAGCTAAAGATAAACCATGCTACATCCACCTAATGGACCACTGTGCAGATGCAAAAAGGCATCAGGAAGCTCCCTGTCTACTGATAAGGTAAGAATTCCCAAATACTGGGGCTTCCCTGGTGGCACAGTGGTTAAGAATCCACCTGCCAATGCAGGGGACACGGGTTCGAGCCCTGGTTCGGGAAGATCCCACAAGCCGTGGAGCAACTAAGCCCGTGCGCCACAACTACTGAAGCCCGCGCCCTAGAGCCCGTGCTCCGCAACAAGAGAAGCCACTGCAATGAGAAGCCCATGCACTGCAACGAAGAGTAGCCCCTGCTCGCCGCAACCAGAGAAAAGCCCACACGCAGCAATGAAGACCCAACACAGCCAAAATGTAAAATAAAATAAAATAAATTAAAAAAAAAAAGAATTCCCAAATACTATTATGCCTAGCGCACAATACTATGTATATGTGGTACTGTGCTACTTTTGTACAAAAAAAAAAAAAAAGGAAAGCAAATATATATAGTCATATTTGCTTGTAATTACATAAAGAAATTTTGGAAGGATATGTAAAAATTAATAAAGATAGGAATATGGGTATAAGAACTGGACAGACAGGGGACAAGGTGGGAGAGAGACATTATTACTTTTAGGTTTTTGTTTCTGACCATGTGATTGTATTGCTTATCCAAAAAATGGGCTAACTGAAACTTGAACCATCTGTGCCTCTAAGAGGCTGAGAATGGGAGAGTTTCAGAAAATAAGGAGTGAAGTATGCCTGCAAGTAAAGAATTGAGTGTGTGCAAAGCTTATTTTCTTTTATCTGGGCAAAAATTAAAACACATTCCTTGGAACAGAGCTGTTGCCGCCTGTTCTGCAGAGAAACTTCTTTTTGAGGGCTGTGGTGAATGGATGAACATACATAATAAAACTCACAAAATATTTTAAAAATATATAAAACAAAATTAGGTTGCTGGTCAGTCTTAGTGTTTTACAGTATTTGGGAAAACAACTGTTACAGTTTTATTGCTCAGAGTAACTGACAAAGCAGAATCTATCCAGTTTTTGTAGCAAAGGCGTCACACGCAAACAAGCAAAATGAATGAAAAAGTCAAATGGTTTGCCTCATTCTCCAAGAGCCACAACTCAAGCTGAACTGTGAAAGTGGTTTAACACTATCCTAGGTGATCTTTTTTTCCCTCTTCTGGTTTATTTTTTTGTTTGTTTTATTTATAGTCTGATTTAAAACAATCAGATTCAAGTTGGTTAATTTTAGTTATGTAACAACCTGACATGATGGAGGAAAACAACCTTTAAAGGGATTGTGTCTATGGTTTGATTCACTTAGAAATTTTATTTTCTTATAACTTAAGCGCTATAAAATGTGTGTTTTCATGTTAAAAAAAATGGGCTAAAATGTCCTTTTTTAACTTTCTGGTTTTTGGCTGCACCATGTGGCTTGCGGGATGTTGAACCCAGGTCACGGCAGTGAAAGCCTGGAATCCTAACCACTAGATCACCAGAGAACTCCCCTGGTGTTTTTTTGTATTATTTATTTTTTTAATGGTTTTTGTTTTATTTAATTAATTAATTTATTTTTATCGTTGTTTTATTTTTTTTTTAATGCACCATCTTATTTTATTTTTATTTTTTATTTTTTTTAGGGTGTGATGCGAGGCACATGCAATCTTAGCTCCCCAACCAGGGATCGAACTTGCACCCCCTGTAGTGGAAGTGTGGAGTCTTTACCACTGGACCACCAGGGAGGTTCCCCCCTGGTGTTTTTTACTTCTGTATATGGGTATATGGGAATGCAGTACCCAAGGCAGTTAGGAAGTGGCTTCAAGTCCTGCCCGTAGCTTGCTGTGTGGCCTCAGGTTAAGTCACGCCCTCTCTGGGAGCCTTAGCTTCATCCTCTGTACAAGAGAAGGGCAGAATCCAAGATATCTCCTAGCTTTGAAACTCTCAGATCCTAAGTTCTGCCTCCTAACAGGAAGCCTCTCCTGATTGCCTCAGCGTACAGCAATCTCTCTCTCCTATAGGTCATGCCATGGCAAAGCTAGAAAGGCTGAACACCCTCACCATAAGACTTGCTTTCCATGGAGGACTAGTCAGTCCTGGGCCCAGATCCTCAATAGGCACGTACACCTGCATGACCAGGATGGGGAGCAGACCAGATGCCCGGTCCAAGAAGAAACTAAAGAAGCTTATCCTGGCAGAGAGGAGCCATGCATGCAAGCACCCAAGAGGACAGGCTAAAGGCATGCCGTTGCATTTCCACCCAGGGATGCACTCTAAGTCAGAGCAATCCAGAGATGGGAGTGGCTGCCTCAAGAATGAGTGAGCTTCCTGTCCCTGGAGGGTGTGCATGATAGCTGGACAGCCACAGGTCAGGGGTGCTGCAGAGGTAATGCCAACGTTAGAGGGAGTGTGGGCACTTCTCAAACCCTGAAAACTATGGTCCTTGGAACTATGCTGGCCCTGAAATCACACCGATAGAACCCAGGCTGCTGTGATCACTGTCTGACTCCTGGCCCCATTCTTCATTTGCCTCCAAGATCCATGTGTGGGGGGAGACGAGGGGAAGGTCCACATACCTGGGGTGGGGCACACGGAGGGGAGGGTCATCTGCCACATCTATCAAGGGTCTGCCTACCAGCGACCACCTCCTTTATCTCCTGTCCATCCCTGGGCCTAACCCCTCCTGAACCCATCAAGAGCTACTTTGGCATTTAGAAGCCCAGAGCCAGCCAACCAGCCCTTCCTTTGTTCCCTCCCACTGAAGGCTCCAGTCCAGGTCCTTGCTGTCCCTCTCTCAGGTGCTCTCCCTCCTCTACTGCCTGCAGACACAGGGAGAGCAAGACCCAGTTTCCTTCCTTACACAGGGGAACTCCCAACCCACCTGACTGGCAGGACATACCACCTCCCCTTCAGACCTCAAGCCCATCTCACCAGGTCAACGTCAAAAGTGTCTCTGGGAGTGCGGGCAGCTTCTGGGCTGGCTCTCCTGGAAACGGCTGCATCTGGAGAACACAGAGAAGGTCACAGTCAGGTCAGAGACATCCCTGGTGAGAAGCATCCTGTCTCGGGACAGTGACAAAGGAAACATCCCCATTGCTTTTCCTGAAGACCCATTCTCCAGGGCCTTTGGCAGCACTGGGGAAGCTCCATGAAGGGGCTGTAATTGGAAGGAAAGCTCCCTGACTATAATGGGCATGAACTCAGCCAGAAGGAAGGGAAAGGTAGCACTAGAGAGTGCCTGCCTTTGGCTCCAAACCCCAAGCACAGCTCTCTCCATCTTGGGGCTACCACCAAGGCAAAGCATGGACAATCCTAACACCGTTACTGCTCACTGATTTCTCTGCATAGGGAGAGCTCCGTGATACTCTTCTGACGTGCACCCTGTTTTTATTAAATCTAAATCTCTCATGCTTCAGAATAAAATAACTCCTTTCTCTGCCACTTCCCGGTTACAACACCCAAGGCAAGCTGTTTAAACTCTATGCAGGTCATTTCCTGTACATGGGGTAACAGTCACCACCTAGGTGGAGAAGGCATAAGTCCACGCTCACTCTAGTACTGCACTTTTATAAGCCCACGTCCACTATCTCCAAGGGCAGGAGTGAGCAAGGTCTCCATCACTGGCACCTACCTGAGAACCCTCAGATTCTGTAGCCTCCCTCCCCTTACCCAGTAAGGGCCTCCTCACACCAGCTGACCAGAACTCAGAGTCCAGCCTAGAGATTTTGTCAAAAAGCCATTAAAGCCTCCCCACCCTGGAGACCCTCTTGTGTACCCCCTGTGTCTCTTGGAAACCCCCTGATATCTCCAGCTCCTATAAAGGTGCTGCAACTCCTGGATTTGTATTGCAGAGCCAAGCACTGTCTCATTCCTCAGCTATGTAATGTGCCCCACCCAACCTTGTCTCCCAGTTGGACTGGACAACTCCAGGTCAGAAACTGGTGTGCTGTCTCCATACTTCCCAAGTGCCCAGTACGAGGCAGGGCCCATAAAGGTTGGCAGCTGGTCCAGGTGGCGGGCCATCCCAGGGGAGAAAGGTCTCCTCCACTGAGCCCTAGCATGGTTCTGGGTAAGCACCCAACCACAGGCGATAGGGGGAGTGGTTCTGAGCCCCTCTGCCCATACCTCATGTTCCAGTTAACTTCTCTGTTGCTGGACACAGGTGGCTTAAGAGAACCTCCTCAAGTGGTTGGTCCCTCTGGGGCTAAAATGATACAGGGTCTGGTTCTCAGCTTTGTCGCTCCTTAACTTCCTCTAGGGTCACAAGATCGCAGCTAATCCACAGGGCCTTGTAAATCAGTCAAACGTGACCCCTCTGGGTGGCTGCAGCCTCGTGTCAGTGCCTCCTCTCCCCCAGATTTATCCTGCGCCCTGTAACCTATGATGTGATCAAACCCAAGAGACTTAATAAAAACCGCAGTTTCCTTTTCTGCCATACGGAACTGAACTTCTCTACCCCGCCTTTTCCAAGGGACAGCGGCAAGGCCCAAGCCCTTAAACGATAAACAGGCCAGCCATGAGGGTGGCTTACCTGTGCCCTGGGTGATACGAGAGACGAGATCCTGCAGGCGCACCTTGAATTCGTCGAAGCTGTCCGTGCGCACAGCAGCTCGCAGGCTCTGGGGCTCCTCCTGGCGCAGCTGCTGGAGTGCCTCACGCAGGAAGCCGTGCATGTCCAGCACCTCCTGGTCGGAAGCATAGAGCTTCATCCTCTGCACAAGCACGCTGCCCGTACGGATGCGCTGCAGCACAGCATCCAGGCGGCCCAGTTGGCCTGCTATCTCTTTGTAATTGCTCTGGTACCGTGCATTCACCCCCTCCAGCAGTTGACGCTCCAGCTCCAGCACGTGCTCCACCACCTGGCGCACGCGCACGCGGATCAGCTCCTCGATATCCGCGCGCACGCGGCCCAGCTGGCTGATGGCCGAGGTCATTTGCGCCTGTGCCGCGCCAAAGGCGCGGTCCTGCTCCTGCAGGTCCTGGGTCATGACGTCCAGCTCCTCCTGCCGCTGCTGGATCTCCGTCCTGATGTCGCACTTGAGCTCGCTGTGGCCCCTATCCAGGAGCGCGCACGAGCAGCACAGCGGCTTGGAGCAGCCTCGGCAGTAGATGCTGCGGACACATAGGGCTGGCCTGATTTAGGGCTCGCCTGCTTTTTTTCTCTTCATATTTGTTATTAAATTCCTCTTCAAAAATTACAAAACTTTGAATCATGGTACGTTTCTACGTTCGTGCTTTTCTCAATTCAGTGTTTGTGGTTATGGTGATAGTATCCAAACTACTAATAAAACGTATTATAACATCAAAAGTTACTAAAGTAATAGTAGCTAGCCTCCATCCGTGAAACAATGCAAAGACGTACAACAAGAAAGTTAATCATCTCTTGCCAGCCTTTCTGAATTTCCTTTCCCCACCTCGAAGGCAACCAGGTGAGCACCCTGGGTGCATCCTTCACACCTCTCTCTATTCAAACAGCTTTACATAAATATCCAGATTATGCTGCTGCTAGCAGAATTCTAAGGACTTGATACATTTCATTCCACTTAATCCTCCGTAGAGTTTCTTAAGGGAGAATTACTGTTATCCTCATTTCACAGATAAAGAAACCAAGACATTCAGAGTTTAAATAATTGGCTCAAATATCTACAACAGTTTTGGGCAGGTTGATGTTCTTAAAAAAAATAAGAGCATGCTAAACCTCTGTAACTTCCTCCTTTAATTGAACTTTTGTTCAGGACACTCCTCTAGGTCTACAAGTATGGATCTGATGTATTCTCGGTAATAGCTTCTTTACATTCCAGATGGACCACACTGATTCATTCATCCTGTTAATGGACATTCCAGTGATTTCCTGTTTGTGCATTTTTCCCCAATATGCACAATGCTTTCTGTAGCCTAATGCATGCATCCTTTTGTTTCTATGAAATACATTACAAAATAATAGGATTGCTAGATCAAAGAGTATGTATATTTTTATTTATTTAATACAGTTTAGCCAGCAGACACTTCCATAGCATTTACTATGTGTCAGACCCTATTATAAGCATTTGACAAATATCAACTCATTTAATCCTTCTAACAATCCTATGGAGTGGGGATTATTATTATCCCTATTTTAAGGATGGGGAAACTGAGCAAGAGGTACAATAACGTGTCCAAGGTCACACAATTATTAAGTGGTAGAGTCCAGATGCAAATTGTAAGTAGGCAGAATAATGGCCCCCATCCAAGTACTAATTCCTGGAACCTGAATATGGTACCTTACACGGCAAAAGAGACTTGACAGGTGTGATTACATTAAGGATCTTGAGATGGGGAGATTATCCTGGATTATCTGGGTGGACCCAATCAAGAGTCCTAGGGAGAATTACTGTTATCCTCATTTCACAGATAAAGAAACCAAGACATTCAGAGTTTAAATAATTGGCTCAAATATCTACAACAGTTTTGGGCAGGTTGATGTTCTTAAAAAAAATAAGAGCATGCTAAACCTCTGTAACTTCCTCCTTTAATTGAACTTTTGTTCAGGACACTCCTCTAGGTCTACAAGTATGGATCTGATGTATTCTCGGTAATAGCTTCTTTACATTCCAGATGGACCACACTGATTCATTCATCCTGTTAATGGACATTCCAGTGATTTCCTGTTTGTGCATTTTTCCCCAATATGCACAATGCTTTCTGTAGCCTAATGCATGCATCCTTTTGTTTCTATGAAATACATTACAAAATAATAGGATTGCTAGATCAAAGAGTATGTATATTTTTATTTATTTAATACAGTTTAGCCAGCAGACACTTCCATAGCATTTACTATGTGTCAGACCCTATTATAAGCATTTGACAAATATCAACTCATTTAATCCTTCTAACAATCCTATGGAGTGGGGATTATTATTATCCCTATTTTAAGGATGGGGAAACTGAGCAAGAGGTACAATAACGTGTCCAAGGTCACACAATTATTAAGTGGTAGAGTCCAGATGCAAATTGTAAGTAGGCAGAATAATGGCCCCCATCCAAGTACTAATTCCTGGAACCTGAATATGGTACCTTACACGGCAAAAGAGACTTGACAGGTGTGATTACATTAAGGATCTTGAGATGGGGAGATTATCCTGGATTATCTGGGTGGACCCAATGTAAGCACAAGAGTCCTCATAAAGGAAAGAGGCAGGAGGCAGGAGAGTGAGAGAAGGGAGAGGTGACGATGGAAGTAGAGGTCACAGTGACACTATCCTGCTGGCTGTGAAGATGGAAGGGGATCATGAAATACAGAATGCAGGCAGCCTCTAGAAGCTGGAAAAGGCAAGAAGATGGATTCTCCTCAAGAGTCTCCAGAAGGAACACAGCCCTACTGACGTCTTGATTTTAGCTCAATGAGACCCATTTCAGACTTCTGACCTCCAGAGGCACAAAACGATATATCTCTAATGGTTTAGGTCCCTAAATTTGTGGTAAATGTTACAGCAGCAACAGGAAACTAATATAAAAACCCAAGCAGCCTGGCTCAGAGTCCATATGCTCTGAAACACTGCAGTGCTGCTTCTTCAAATATTACCAGGAAAAATATTAGTTACTTCCCTAGAAATACTGCTGTAATTTACTCTCACCAGGAATGAAAATAATAAGTTAGCCCACCAGAGGCCAGGAGAAAGGATTTTAGCTGGGGCCACTTTGGCTTGAATTACTGAGATCAACTTGTCCCAGAGAGCCTGCTGGCCGACCCAGTTCTAAAATCTTGAAACCAGGTACTAGTCCTCAGCTTTGCCAGCTCTCAACCTTCCCAAGTCACCCAAGGTGGTAAGGTCCCAGGGCTTGACCCTCCTGCTCAAACACAGGAGACTTATGCCACGCTAGCAAAGCTTTTCTGGAGACAGAAAAGCGTGTGGAAAGTGGGATGGGGGGTGCCACTGGGTCATGAGCCTTGAGCTCCTCCAGCCTCAGGAAATCGGATCTAAGTAACAGAGACCCACATCACCCAGAGGCAGGACCAGTGGCTGTGGTACGTGCCAGGTGGAGCAGAGATAAAAGCTGGGCAGATGTGGATCTGACCTCAGCTCTGTGCCCTTCCTTGGCAGGTCATTTAACCTCTCTGCACCTCAGTTTTCTTACCTGTAAAATAGGGATAATTCCTACCTCATATGGGAGTGCTGGAGAGGATCAAATGAGGTAAGCCCTACATGAATGTTTTTTAAAAAGACTATGATTATAAATGTCTGAAATATTAGTGCTCCCTAATTAGACACTACTAATGAGAAATGTTAAGCAATTATGAAAGGAATGAATAACTCTACAGAGGGCAATTTGGCAGTATTCATCAAGATTACAAATGTATTTATCCTTTGACCCAGCACTCTCCCTTCTAGATATCTTTTCTGCAGCTCTATCTCCATACATAAAAAATAACATTTGTACAACGTAACACAGTCCATAATAGCAAAGAATAGAAACAACCTAAATGCCCATCACTAGGCAATGAGTTACATAAGTTACAATGCACCTGTACAATGGAGTACTAACTATGCAGCTGAAAAAAACTGAGAAAGTTCATTATATGGAAAAATCTCTCTGGCAAAATAAGGATGATAATAGGAGTATTAGGAGGATTCGATGAGTTAATATATATAAAAGGTTAGAACAGTGACTACCATATAATGTGTTCAATTATGACAATGTATATTTTAAGTAAAAAAATCAAGGTGCAGAAGTGTATTATAGGGGACCTCTCCTGGTGGCACAGTGGTTAAGAATCTGCCTGCCAATGCAGGGGACACGGGTTTGATCCCTGGGCCGGAAAGATCCCACATGCCATGGAGCAACTAAGCCCGGGCGCCACAACTACTGAGACTGCATGCCACAACTACTAAAGCCCATGTGCCCTAGAGCCCGCACACCACAACTACTGAAGCCTGTGTGCCTAGAGCCCATTCCCCGCAACAAGAGAAGCCACCGCAATGAGATGCTTGCGCACCACAATGAAGAGTAGCCCCTGCTCGCTGCAACTAGAGAAAGCCCGCGTGCAGCAACAAAGACCCAACGCAGCCAAAAAAGACACAAAAGTGCATTATAGGATGCTGCTTTTTGTGTAAGAATGGAAAAAAATAAGAATATATTCATATTTGATTGCATTTGAATAAAGAAACCTTGGAAGGATACGAATTAATTAAAGTATTTACAGGATGGGGCAGGGAAGAGGTGGAGTGAGGCATTTCACTGTATGCCTTTTAGGTTGCTCTCATGTTTGAACCTTGTGAATGTATTGTTATTACCTGTTTTTAATTAAAGAACAGAATTCTAATAGATGTGGGCAATTAGATAGGCTATAGAAATAAAGGGAAAACTAGAACCAGTTGTCATTTTCCTAGCTTTGGATCCATGGGAGAGGGGCTGAGACCGAGGTGAGTGACCCTTCCTTAGAAAGAGTGTTCCAGGCCTGGGAAGGGGACCCCTAGGGTGGCCTGGCTGGAGGGAGAGCACGACTTGCTGGGGGGACAACAGTCTCTGCTGGGTCCTCTTCTTAAGCCCCTTCTGCCCCAAATGGGGTCTCCCCAGGGAAACCAGCCACCCCTGCCCCTCTGGATGGAAGGAGACAATTGGCTTCAGGTCTATATTGAAGGGCCTGCATCAGACGCCCTGGGGTCCAAAGTCCCCAACTTTCTGATAAGACTGAGGTGCAAACCCTGAATCAGAATGACCCATTGTGGGCCTGCCACCCAAGACCAAGGATGACCTCCTTGGCCTAGGGTTCCTTCACCCTCATTCAAAGGACACTTACTGAGTACCCACTGTGTGCTTGGCACTTTTGGGGGAGACAGGTGAGGTGGGCACCTACCCACGAGGAGCTCCATGACAAGCACCCAGACTTAACACAGACAGAGAGGTGTAGCTCTGGAAAGCAAAAGGGTACTTATTTGCTTCTGGAACACTCGAAAGAATGAACTAAAACACCACAGAATCAAAAAGAAGTTGCTCAGCAAAGTGGCTGGATTATACCAGAATTAAGAGAAGAAAACAGCTTAATTCTATTCCAGCAAAGCAAATGAAAAGACGTATGGAAACATTTTCCATGTTCTCATTCACAATAGCAATTTTAAAAATGCTAAAAAAAA